TATTTTTTTTTTTTTTTTTTGATTTTTTTTTTTTTTTTTTTAATTTTTTTTTTTTGCGGGGGGGTCTGGAGACGGGGTTGGGGGTGCCCACCCCCGGAACCCCGGAACCCCGCCGGGGCCCCGGGGCCGGGGCTCGACAACCCTGGTCTTGGGGTCATCACCCCTGAACTTGTTGGGAGAAGGGATCTTGGGACCTCTGTAGTCTCCTGCAGTAACAGCAACATAGGTGGCCTTTGTTGAGGCCTTTTGGGAAGGGGTGGATGACCGGGAAGAATGTACAAAGCCAGCATGAGATAGATGGGGAGAGGAAGGGGGTGAGGAATGAGGAGAAGATTTGGGCTGCAGCAGAGGGGGTTGAGGAGTGATCAGCTTGGCGGCTGCCAGCTGAGCAGTCAAGCCCTGAATAGACTTCAGGATCCTGGTCTACTGAGCTGATAGCTTGTCAACCCGACGCTCCAGCCGCACAAAACGATCATCCTAGTTTGTAAACTGGGAGCTGGTGATCTTGTGCTCCAACAGGATCATCTCCGCCGTGTGCTTGGTGATCTGGGAGCAACGATCATCAGCGAGCGACCTCCCTAGCTGCTGCAACAGATATTCTCTTCTGAAATGATCTGTTGCAGCCTCTAGTTCAGCAACCTCCTGCTGTTCCACTTCTGCCAGTCTGGCCTGTTGCTGACGCTGTTGTTCTTCTAGCTTCTTCTTCAACCGCTTAGTAGCAGTCAGAGGTGGAGAAGAGGGAGTGGAGGCTGAAGGTTGTTCGCCTTCTACCTTTATCACCACTTCCACCTGTGGTTGTTGTTCAACTCCCTGATCAGACATTTTCCCGGTTCAGAAATAAAACCAAAAATAAAATAAAATAAACAACAGTCGGAGTATGCAGCGATAATCAGATTCCTGCAGACACACTGGAATCCCTGCAACACTCAAACACTGGAGTAGGTGGGTGAATAGGCAATCAGCGGGTTGGGTTAGAAGGGCGTCTCTGGGGTCAGGTGTCAGACAGACAGTAAGTCCAGCAAAATCAATCACACGATTTTCTTTTACTGACCCTGAACCACACTGGAGTTAGTAAACACACTCCATTACTTTTCAAGAGACCCACTCGAATCCCAGTGCCCACTAGAAAGCAAGTGTCATCAGTGAGAATGATCGAAAGTGGTTAGTACAGACAATACAGATCAACCACAATAAGCGATGTCGACAGTTACCCTATATATCCTGACTCAGACTCAATTTTTGACCCTGATGACTCCGGCAGCCATACCCTAGGGTATGGCGAAGTACAGTATTCACTGTATCCACTGAAATATTGCAAGTCCAACTTTGCGATTCTACTGTATTGTCTATTTTTGAATTGCGATTCATTGGGGACTGACAGAACTAATTTCTGACGGACAGAATTGAAGTTGTGACTGACCCTAGGTAGCAAAGGCCAAAATTAGACTCAGCGCAAAACAGCAATTCACAGTATCACTACCTTTTCAGTGCAGAATTCCCTGTTTGAGCATCCCAGATCAATCACAATGCAGTATAGCAGTCGCAGAACCAATTGGGATCAGAAAGAGTCAACAGAGGATGAGATATGGGCAGAGAGAGGTAGGGGAGAGATGGTTATGGCTGTCATGCAGTCTGCGATTTTCATATCCAGTCACTGACAGACAGATAGACCATTATCTTTCACTAAACTAACCCTATCTGGATCGCAATATAGGTAGGTGCATGGAACGGACTCACTTTCTGAAAATCTTGCAGGTGATGATGAAGATCTGCCTATGGCTGATGATACCCTTATCTCGCCAATTTCCTCCAGATATTCCTCCTGACACTTCCACGCATAGACCCTCCTCAAATTCGTTGATCCTCCTCAGGATCCTGTAGCGCTGCACTCCCTTAACCCAGATACCCTGTATCTGGTCCTGTGGCACCCAGATGGCCAACTTCGAAATATCTCGCCACAGTGCCTGGTAGCCACTGATGCTAAAAATAGCCCCTGATGGGGTTATTTCTTCAGGAGATTGACACAGACTGTCAATCTCAGCCAGCGCTACCCAGGGATGATGCCGCGCAGGGTTCCCTGATGTCCTCAGGGGTAATTCGCAGCATCACCCTCAGGGTTGGCTATGGCGAATTAGCCCTGTACTTGCCACTTCCTGACAAGCGCTCTGACAGGCTCAGTGCGCTTGCTCAGTACCACCACTGAACACTTGAATTCACCTGTGTAACACTCCGTTCGACGTAGGGGGGGTTATCATACGTACGGACCGTACGCCCACATGTGCCCGTACGTACGGCCGTATGTACGTACGGACGACCCGTATTCGTACGAGGGTCTACACAGGAATTCACCGCTGAAAGTCTTCTTCCCTGCTGGCTCAGGACTGGGGGAGATGAATCGCCATGAAACTCTCGCCAGTAGATTGCCCGATGAAGAAGATGCCTCAGTGCACTCAACCCTCAGTGCTCCAAATCCAATCCCGCTCCGATACCAAATGTTATGAACTTGGTTGCCTAACGAATTTTATCGCCACTCACACACAGACCATCTCACACATGCCCATACATGCATAAGAGAAGGGGAGAGAGGAGACAGAGACCAAACTGCACATAGGTGAAAATAAGCAGCGGAAGATAATCATGCACAAATGGGGAGAAGACACACAGTGTTTCTCACTCTCTGACATAACTCCCAACAAGTTGCAACAACCAATCACAAGAAAGAACCTGCGAAGATCACAATTGGAAATCACACTGATGATGAACCACTCAAACAATTATCGTAACAGAGTTTGTTCCGGTATCTCGCCACTCTCACAAGTCACACCCCACTCTCTATCCTACACCCAGTTAGTAGCGCCACATCAGATTGGCCTCCCAGAGGCCTGCGCCAACCACCCTGATGAAGAACAGGTCTTGCGATGAAGTCTTCAGTGCCAAAGGGCAACTCTGACGAAGGAACAGTGTGGCATACTGCGTAGCCACACGAGCCCTGCAGGGCCCGTCCCGGACATTCAGCCTAAAAGCCTAAAACTTAGGGCTTACAGGCCCCGGTCGTTTCAGCCTGAAAGCTGAAAAACGAGGGTCGCAGGCCTTACTCCGTTTCAGCCTATTTCTGGGTCTTTCAGACCCAGAGTTTTTCCAGCCTGAAACAGAGGGCCATTTTCAGGTCGTCATTGTTTCAACCGCCCCTAAGACTCAGGCACGGAAACAGGGTTTCAAGAACAGGCCAGAAATAGCCTGTTCCCACGACCTTGAGCAGGAGCTGCAGCAGCAGCCGCTGCCTCCGATCGGCATTGGCAAGAGCAGCCTCCTGGACTGCTCGCCTGCGTAAGGAGGCACCCGTGGTAGTACATAGGAGCTTCCCAGGCACTTCACAGATAGGTAGTTGTCAGTAGGCACGAGTAGTCTTCAGGATTCGGCCGCAGCACTCAGGAGGAGCGTTGCAGTAGTCTTCAGCGCTAGGCAGTAGTTAGCGCTAGTAGTAGTCTTCGGCGCTGGGCGCCCATAGCCATAGTGGTAGTCTTCAGCGCTGGGCGCTATGGTAGGTGGTAGATAGTAGAGTTGGGAGAGATACTAGCGGAGGCCAGTGGTACTTACATGTGGCGCCATCGCTCCAGCTCCATCTGCGAGGTACCTGCATCAAGGCACCAACTTCACAGGTTAGTACTGGACACACAGAGAGAGAGAGAGAGAGAGAGAGAGAGAGAGAGAGAGAGAGAGANAGTAGTAGTCTTCGGCGCTGGGCGCCCATAGCCATAGCTGTAGTCTTCAGCGCTGGGCACTATGATAGGTGGTAGATAGTAGAGTTGGGAGAGACACTGGCGGAGGCCAGTGGTACTTACCTGTGGCGCCATCGCTCCAGCTCCATCTGCGAGGTACCTGCATCAAGGCACCAACTTCACAGGTTAKTAYTGGACACAGAGAGAGAGAGAGAGTTCTTCTTCTTCCTCTTCTAAGTCCACCATCTCTTCTCACCCTCTCACCACCTAACTTCTCAGACTACGACAGAGAGAGACAGAGTGGTGACTTGAGACTTGACGACACTGGATCCAGACTGGACATTTGGGATTCAGACATTTCGACGAGGGAGTATTTGGGCCTGTGCCGAAGGCTTGGTGTTGACGACATTCCCATCTTCCCCCTCCTCTTCGTCTAACCCCTTCTTTTTCGTCTGTGTATGGTAGGGGTTGGCGCAGTCTTCCTGTGTTCAGCGCCAGACCCCATTCACACCATGTAACGATGATGATGTTGTATGTTCAGGGCTACATTGCAATATTAATTGTTCGGGTCAATGGTATCTAAGTCTTCCGTTGTGTTATCTTGTACTTTGTATTGAGAGGTCGGTTCTTGTTCTGGTCTGCACGTTACGGTATGCAACAGTTTGGTATCGGAGCGGACCTCTCATTTAGAGGACCCGCTCAATCAAGTAGCCAGCTTGCTGATCTATTGATCACTCGTTAGTAACGCAAGTAGGTCTTCGTCAACTCCATGAAAATTTTCTTCTCGTAACAACTATCTGAAAATTTCTGATATTCGCATTTCGTTTTACCTGAAAATTTCTGATATTCGTAGTTCGTTTTTACATAACAAATATCTGAAAATTTCTGATAAATCGCATTTCGTTTTGTCTGAAAATTCCCGATAGTAGCTTTTCGTTTCTCTAATATTTCGCATACATAGCTGAAATTTATGAAGTTAGTATTTCGTTCTCTAGGCATATTGGGATAACGATAGAAGTGGTCATATTCTCGGAAACTGAAATTATTCTTTTCTGAAAATCGAATTTCCATTCTATCTCGCAATTTTTTTTGGAAAACCGAAACCTTGTGAAGAATACCAATATTGCGTTAGGCATATTCGGAGGTTGCTATATTCTYAGAAACTGGATTTCGTTCTTTTCTGAAAATCGCATCTTTACTCCATTTCGCAAATTTTTTTTTTCAAGATCGCAATTTGTAAAAGCCGAAACTTTGCGGAACCTAGCCTAGATCTCGTTCATAGTACTCTTCTGACATGTCCTACTCATAAAAAATCGACAGATATACAAAAAAAAAAAAAAAAAAGGAAGTAGTCCTCTTTTATTTTTTTATTTTTTTTATCTGTTGATTAGGACGGAAGAAAGTATTGTTGGGTTGGGTTCCTACCTGCGTTTTTCCTCCCACCCACCCCTTTGCATGCATTTCTGGGTTGGCACAGTGACACGTCAGCTACAGCGACACGTCAGCAGTGCCACGTCAGACACAGTGACACGTCAGCTACAGTGACACGTCAGCAGTGCCACGTCAGACACAGTGACACGTCAGCAGTGCCACGTCGGACACAGTGACACGTCAGCAGTGCCACTTCAGACACAGTGACACGTCAGCTACAGTGCCACGTTTGACACAGCGCCACGTCAGCAGAGCCACGTCAGCAGAGCCACGTCAGCAACATGATGAGCCCATTGCCGACTACAAAAAGCGCTTCGAGGCTCAGCTCGCTGTAATCGAGGTTGAGGAACAACGCCAGCTGACAGTCAAGGCTGCCCAGCTACAGGCTGAAGAAGCGGCAACAGCAGAGAAGCTGCGGCTACAGGCCGAAGCAGACGCAAATGCCCAGGCTCGCCGCAAGGAAGCCCAGGATCTGCTGCAGCGGCATGAAGCCAACGGCATCGAGAGACTCAAGTTCTGGCACTTTGAACCAAACGGCAACGAGGCAACACCAGAAGAGCAGCATAAGGAGTTTCTCTCCAAACTTGTGACACGGCTGTTGTACAATTGCAACTACCAACAGTCTGAGTTGGAGAAACAGTACCAGGATCTGACGCTACAGCATCAGGAGTTGGCGAAGCTCCGCCGCACAGTGCAGAGCCACGAGGATGCAACTCGGGCACTCAATGCCCGATTGTTGGACCTGGAACAGGCTGTACCAGGACCAGCTCTTGGGGCTTCCGGCAGTGCACCCTCTAGCCGCCAACAGGAGGAACGCGTTGACCACGTAGTGGCAATGCTCGGTGATATAAGCACCTTCGCTGCGCCGACCACCATCAGCAGTCATCTGCATACCTTGAAGACCGAGGTCCAGCAGCTGCAGTCGGCAAACACGGATGGCAATCCTAAGTTGTACAAGATGCCAACTTTCCAACTAAAAAAGTTCGACGACTACACGCAGCAGGATCCGGTCCTCTGGTGGGAAGCATTCACGACGCAACTGAGGATTCTGCCTGTCGCTAAGCATGCGTGCATCGGCGCCCTGTTCATGAACTCAAAGGGCGGATGCCAGATCTGGTTGACCCACCTAGCAACCTCTCACGGCGTCGACGTACCAGACTTGAAGGACAAGATCACATGGGAGGAATTGACACGGCTGTGGAAGAAACGGTTCATCGTCGACGACGCGCCGACACTCGCCATCAACCGTCTTTTCACCATGTCACAGGGCAGCAAAGCAAAACGGGACTGGCTCACGGAATGGCAGAAGATTGCGGCAGTGCCCAATCTGGACTTGCCATTCACGCATCTACGCCGTGAGTTCTACAACAGGTCCTGTGCTGCATTGAGCCAGGCTCTTGGTGATCGCGAGCAGTAAGTACTCAACCTTCGCTGAGATCATTGACAAAGCAAGGGAGATCATCAAGACCAACAGGTCAGCTGCACACGAGAAGTCAACATGGCAGCCGACCTATGTGGAGAAGGTACGAACTGGTCCGCGACCACAGCACTTCGCTGCAGTCCAATCGGATAGTGGAGATAACCCAGCGGCCACTCCCGCATCAGGTGACAGAGATCAGGTGGCTGTTGTCCAGCCGCGAAGCAACAACAAGTCCCGCAATAATGAGAAGGCGAAACCAGCATCGCAGGCCGGAAACGGACAGCCTCCATGGGTTAAGTTCGGCTTGACCGAGGCGGAGTACAAGGTCCGCGGCCGCTACGGCAGCTGCTATTGGTGCAACAGCACCAAGCACAAGTCCTCCTTGTGCCAGGATCAGGGCAAGGAGGATGTGCGACCCCGCCTCAACTTGGGAAACAAAGTTCCGCGGAAGGTGAGGCGACTCCACCTTCTACTCCGCCAGATTCGGCCGCCTTGCTAGCGGCCTCCTGCACATCTGGGGAGGATGTGAATGTCACAGGTTCTCGTTACACTTACTAGGACTATGTTGTCCACTTGGTTCCACCGCTGGACCAACCGCTCCACGTGCAACAATCTACCGCATGCACGGTTTCATCACCATCGGCAACCGATTCGGCAGCTTCATCGCCATCTATCGTCGGGGATTCATCGTCGTGGTCAAGACTTGAGGTGCTAGACCCACTGACGCTCACGGACTTCTAGTGGATGCCCGTTCCCCCGACCGGACGATTGTCGAAACCGCATTGCAATGTGCTCATGGCACAACTGCGGGATTACTCGCACACTGCAGGACCAGCTCCGTTGATGGACGCCGGAGTAGAGGTTGTCGACCTTCACGCGTACATTGTGAAGATCGACCGCGAGTTCAAGACGCAACGGTACGATGACATCGACGCACCATTGCTATATGGACGCATTCAGATCGGAGAGGCGACCTGCAACGCCTTAATCGATTGCGGAGCATCTCGCAACTACATCAGCGAGGACTTCATGGTGCGCGTCGGCCTTGGCCCACGCGTCTGGAGGAAGTCCCAGCCTACGCAAGTCACCTTGGCGGACGGTCACACGCACAAGTCAATCGACCGGTGCATTGACAACGTCCGAGTGTACTTTGCCCCTCACGCAAGTGAGGYGGTGTCCTTTGACATTCTGGACACCAAATTTGACATGATCTTGGGCATGTCATGGCGGCGAAGCGAGGATCACCCGGTGAACTTCTACCGCCGCATCGTTCACGTTCGTGATCGGAACGGAGTACTAGTCCCATGCACGGTAGCTCCTCCTCACCCTTCAGTCAGCTGTCACGTGGTATCCGCCGCAAGCATGCAAGCTTCCATCATCAGAGACGTCATCGAGGAGATGGGGGTGTGTTTTCTCCACGCCCTCCCGCCCCATGACGCTTCATCGGTGGACTCATCTTCGAATCCACGCATCACCGAGCTTCTCGACGCCTACAGCGACGTGTTCGAAGGCCCGCACGGAGTAGTACCGGATCGGCCCATCCGCCACGAGATCATCCTCGAGGACAGGGTCGTACCTCCGCGCGGTTGCATCTACCGAATGAGCGAGGAAGAGTTAAGTGTGCTCCGCGCACAACTCGACAACCTTCTAGAGAAAGGCTGGATTCGGCCTAGCTCATCGCCATACGGTGCTCCTGTTCTCTTCGTCCGGAAGAAGAACAAGGACCTGCGGTTGTGCATCGATTATCGCAAGCTCAACACACAGACAATCAGGAACGTCGGTCCTCTCCCACGCATCGACGACCTTCTCGAGCGACTGGGCGGCGCCAAGTTYTTCTCCAAGCTGGACCTCAAGTCGGGATATCACCAACTCGAGATTCGCAAGGAGGATTGTTACAAGACCGCGTTTAAGACGCGATATGGGCATTTCGAATGGCTGGTTATGCCATTTGGCCTTACGAATGCCCCGACCACTTTCCAAGCGGCTATGACAACGGAGTTCCGACACATGCTGGATCGCTTCGTACTTATCTACCTCGATGACATTCTGGTCTACAGCCAGAGTTTGGAGGAGCATGTGGAACACCTGCGCACCGTTTTGGAGCGGCTACGACAAACCAAGTACAAAGCCAACCGCCACAAGTGCGAATTCGCGCGGCAGGAGCTGGAGTACTTGGGCCATTATGTGACGCCGCAAGGCATCCGTCCGCTCGCGGACAAGATCGAGGCCCTACGAGTATGGCC